GACCAAAATCTTCGGAACGTCGATACTGGATGTCGAAGTCGTACCCCAATAACGCCAACGCCCAACGTTGAAGACGATTAGCAGAATGGGCAGGAATGCCTTTCTTTGATCCAAAGATTGATAACAAAGGCTTGTGGTCTGTGAGCAAGGTGAAACGGCGCCCATAAATGAATTTGTGGAATCGCCGGACAGCAAAAATTAGGGCTAACGCTTCCTTCTCTATCTGACCGTAGCGTTTCTCAGCAGGTGTTAATGTTCTCGAAGCGTGCATCACCGCTTTCTCTGACCCGTCGGGAAAGACATGTGAGATTACGGCACCCAGTCCATGTGTTGAAGCGTCAGCAGCAACCACAATGGGTAGTTTCGGATTGTAGTGGGTTAGCAGAAGATTGGAACTTAGCATAGCTTTAAGTTTTGAAAAGGCTGACTCACATTGCGTTGACCAATTCCAAGTAGCATTCTTTTCTAGCAGACGATTTAATGGATATCGTACGTCATGCAGTGATGGAAGAAATGCTGAATAGTAGCTAATCATCCCAAAAATGATCGGAGTGAGGAGACATCAGTGGGAGCAGGCATTTGTTGGATTGCGTAAGTATTTTGAGGATCAGGGTGTCGTCCGGAAGCATCAAAGATAAACCCCAGGTATTTAACGAAACGTAGAAGAACTGGCATTTTTCTGGGCGAAGGCGAAAACCATTATCCTGGAGGCGTTGCAGAACTAAGTGGGTTCTGGTATGCAATTCATCAGCAGTTGCGCCGACAATGAGCACATCGTCAAGGTATGTAGCAACACCAGGAACATCTGCCAGAATAGTGTCCATTATCTGCTGGAAGATCGCTGGAGCAGTTTTGATACCGAAGGGTAACCGGGTATACTGAAAAAGTCCTCGGTGAGTGTTGATTGTCAACAACTCTCTGGATTCTAGAGCGACTGGAATTTGATGGTAAGCATCTGCCAGATCCAGCTTAGCAAAGTAGGTACCACCATTTAAAATAGTAAATAAGTCATCTGGGATCGGCAGCGGATAGTGATGCTGTTGTAGAGTCGCGTTGAGTCCTGTGGAAAAGTCTGCACAGATGCGTATGGAACCACTGGATTTTTTTACAACCACAATTGGTGCAGCACATGATGAATAAGAAACAGGTACTAAGACACCTTCAGTTTCCAAACGTTGAAGTTCAGCGTCAACCAGAGGTAAAGATGCGTATGGGACTGGACGCTTTGGGCGAAAAACTGGCGTAGCTTCTGGCTGCAGTTTTAAAACAGCTTCAGTTGTGGAACAAAGTCCGAGACCAGGCTTAAATAATTCAATAAATCGTTTTCGAAGGTCTTCATCATGCTGTTGTGTAGAAGCAGTAGTTTGGACTTGATTGCAGATAGCGCTAATAGGAAGATCAGCGAGACCAAGTTCTTCGAACCAATCTAAACCTAAAAGGTTGAGCGGAGAATTGGTGATGTAGCATGTCCCATTGAAGGTTGTACCTCTGAATGAAATACAGCAACAGAGTTCACCATGAAGGCGGAGATGACCCCCACAGGCACTGACGGCTGTTTGAGAGGATGGTTTGATGGCAGGTTGACCCAAGGTTCGCCAAGTCTTTTTCGACAGAATGGTGATATCTGATTTTTTTTTTTTTTTTTTTTTTTTTTTTTTTTTTTTTTTTTTTTTTTTTTTTTTTTTTTTTTTTTTTTTTTTTTTTTTTTTTTTTTTTTTTTTTTTTTTTTTTTTTTTTTTTTTTTTTTTTTTTTTTTTTTTTTTTTTTTTTTTTTTTTTTTTTTTTTTTTTTTTTTTTTTTTTTTTTTTTTTTTTTTTTTTTTTTTTTTTTTTTTTTTTTTTTTTTTTTTTTTTTTTTTTTTTTTTTTTTTTTTTTTTTTTTTTTTTTTTTTTTTTTTTTTTTTTTTTTTTTTTGGCTTCTTCTGAACCGGTTTAGAGTGATTAGAGATAGAAACAGCGCTGGCGTCCGAAGGACTCGAGTTTGTCGATCTCGAAGATTTTTTCTGGTGCTGAACAGCATGAACTTCGGAACCACCCTGGCCCCCAGATTGAACCAAAGTGGTGTCACGCTGCAGATTGATGATACGCTGGTATTCGTCTATGATCGCATTAAGTGTCAGTGCTGAATCTTGTTCAAGGCGGTTGAGCAACCGAGTTCTGATGTCGGAGAATTTGGGTGACTGAAGACTGCATATGAGTATTAGGGACTTGAATTGGTCTTCAGTGAGGGATCTGAGCTTGAACCGTTCACACTCACGGTTAACAACGCCGACGTGAGTTAGGAAGTCATCAGACTCATTCATGACCAGTTTTAAGCAGCGATATCGGGTACTGAAGAGTGAGTGATGATCACCAAAAAGTTGGCTAAGGGACTGAATAGTGGCGTCGAATGAACGGTCGCGTGGGTTCTGCGGCAGAATGAAGTTGCAATACTTATCCAGCTCGGATGGACCAAGTTTACGGAGAAGAAGACGCACCTTCCACGAATCATCTCTGTCAACAAAGTCAACTTTGAAAAGGTCTTCATAACGTCTGAACCAGGTATCAAATGTAATATTGGCATCAGGATCATAAAGAAATTCTGAAATACCACTGGTAATACCATCAACTGATTCAGGAATTGTCGGTGCAGTTGGGACTCGAGAAGATATGTGCGTCTGAGTAATCATCTCCATCAGCTTCAGCTGCTGTTCGAACAATTTTTCTAATTTGGCTGGATCCATAGTTAATCACCAACTTGTTGCTAAATCTCCGTCGCCAAATTTATTGTGAATCGCGAGTTGGCTACTCTAAATTCTACCAATTGACAAGCTTCAGATATCCCAGTTCGACCCCAATACTGTTCCCAATCTCCAATATATCAGAACACGAACCGTAGATGAAAAATCGTTTATGGGGTCAGGTGCAGCAGAATAATGATTTACAAACAAATGCATATTTATACAGTTAGGATTACTATAAATATTGACCAACAGAAAGATGACACGTTAAATAACATTGACCAATAGGAAAATGACACGCGAAATAAATATTGATCAGTAGGGAAACGACCAATAGGGAAATGACACCATTTAACGTTCAAGGGTAGCGTTAGACTTAACCGGATAATTGTTTCTGGGATTTTTTTCTGAGTATCCCAACAAAAATAAAGCTCGTAATTAGAGGAACATGAATGTGAGTAGTTTAGTTATTTAACAATTATACGATAAAAATATCCCCATAGTATCGACCCATAAATGGATCCCAAAGTTACCATTCATTATGCTTATCGGACATAACAATATACCTGATTGGGGAATTCTAAATTCAGTACAATACATCCAGTTGTGTGCACTGTTCTCTGTCTTTAGTTGTCACTACTAAAGTACATACTATTTAGGTTTGGAAACTTACTAGTTCGCAGATTATATTCGATAATATTACTACTCAGAAAGATCCTGCACATATCTACTGGACTATCCTTGTAATAGTCCATATTTAAGATAGGATATTGTAAAGTTTGTGACATCTGTATCGAATGCATCTTTGTACCAATATTTATGAGCCCAAATAAATAAATAAAACCAAACTGTTTGATTAGACCCCCCTATGAGGTAGAGGACTAATACCCCATATATAACCTGGGCTATTTCACCCTCTAATTTGTAAAATCATCGTAAAAAAGCCGCTTGGAAAGCCTGTGATCAACTATCAATGACCTTCTATAGATTGCTGAAATCTTAGTTTGACTGGGTAGGTACCTTTGAAACCTTTTACAACTGCAGTCACTATTCAATAAATGATGTAGCTTGACAAAAATCAACAAATCTTCGGGAATTTATTCATCAACTAGCTTCCTATGATGCTCCTGCTTATTAATTTATACGAATGTATAAATTGCCTTAAACTACTACCTGTCGTTTGACAGGTTAAAGACAATCAATCAACACCCTACAAATTTCGGCGAGACTATAATTTATGGACGACAAGTCACGAATTTTGGCGCGAAATTCATCCATACATTTGGCTAAATAGAATTTTGGCATTAAAGCTTACGTCAGTTCGTGATGAAAACCCTAAATCTAATTTTGAACCCTAACCATCAACTGTAAATGAGAATTGTAACTGCTTTACAACCCTCATTTAGTCTTAATCAATAGGTGCCCACTCTCAATGTCACTTCAGTGTCGATCAATGGTCGTCCATATATTATAGTTCCACCCAAATTTCCTCTCAATTTCTTTAGATCTTAATTAAACTGTAAAATCAAATAATCAAAAACTGAAAGTCGGTCAACAAAAACGGAAGATCAAAGAAGGTTGGTATGATGGGGATAAAATATGAAAAGTATTGATTAACTTGTAACGTCCATTTTTATCTTACCTTAGTCATTTAGCTGATAGATTATGCTACTTTAGTTGAATAAATTATACACAAATGAGTTTTAATTCACTAATACAATACATAGTCAGTTAGTGTTTTTTTTTCAATTGAGAATTAAATGATCGATTCTATGGGGAAAACAACACTTTAATCACAATACCGTTAAATCAGTCATAACTGAAATCACGTAAATTTTTATAACATGAATGTATAAGACAATACCATGATACAAGAGAGTATCCAATTTGTATTTTACATTATGGACTGATTTTAAAACCTAAGGAATAAACTGATAATCCCTAGTTGAATCGCTGGATAGGAGGGCCTATGGATACTCATGGCTGAAGATTTCTACTACAGGATATTCAATGTTATTTGATTTTCGAAGGTTTCTAGCAAAACTGTTTGTGATATAATCAACAAATTCATGCCAGCGTTCACTTCATTGCTGACACAATTAAACACAATCGTATTTTATAACTGTAAGTTGACAGTGATACTGTAACAGAATAACATAGAAAAAAAAATTGGTTTGAAGGAAAAAAAGATATTTATTTACATTTTCAGGAAATTTCTGCTCTCAAAAGAGAACATCTAATTCACAGGTTCAGAATTTATGAGTACCAATTGGTTTTTTTTTTAGCGTAAACCATAATACCACCAGTGTGGTGGTTCATTCCCTCTACGCCATATAGAATCAACACGTAAATCGACATCCACTTCTTTAGTGTCATCTTTTTGATTATCCACTATTCTTTCACCTTCGTTTATTTCGGCACTTTTCAATGTGATTTCATCAGTAACCTGTTCATTCTGTTTTTGTTTTTGTCTCTCTAAATATTTCATCATTGCAATACGAGCTCTATGTGCCATTAAATAAGATCTTGGATGTATTGGTAAAAATCCACATAATCCCAATAATTCAGCTACACGAACAGTTGGTTCAGCTCCCATACCTATCCAGTAAGAGATACGTTCAAAATTTAATGCAATCAATTGTTCTCCATGAATATTAGGGAATGGATCCCATGAACCGACTTGTTCAATACCATTCTTTTTCGATTCAGCTAAGTTAGATTTAATCTGTAATATGGACAAAATGAATAATAAAATGAAGAAATAGTAAAGGAAATTAGTGTCAGTCGTAAAATAAACATAATTCCTGGTTTAAATATACACTAATCTAGATTTTTATATCGTTTCAAAGCAGTGAAAAAAAATTATTAACAAGGCACATGTTAATACAGTCAAAATCGTAGTATTGTTCGCGTTGGTTTAAAGAAAAACTCGATGTGAAGATTATTGCTTGGAAAGAAGGGAATAGTTCGTAGAACAAAAGATGTGAATATTGAGGAGCAAAATTCGAACGACTTCTCTCTCTAGTTAGCGGGGCTGGGACGCATCAAAATAGCTAGCTTATTGGTCTTTGGTCACAGAGTCTTTGTTCCGTTCGCAGACTAGGTGAATACTTAATTGCTTTAAACACAACAAAATAAACAGGTAAGCTGTTACATTGCAATGTTAAACAATGTCTCTAACCACTGACTACATGTGAATGTGAGGAGTCCAATCAAGTAGTTTGCGTCCATTAACAAACTAATAGTCAATATCTTTATGAACTGATGCTACTTTTTAAGTTTGACTCCTTCAATTTCTTAAACCTACTCCTACCCCAGCCTAGCATTGCGCGTCAAGATAGGCGGTAGTTAAGTATGCGTAACACACATCTTAATCACCACATTAGAAGAATGTTCTTTCATACCTAGAATGATTATATTTGAGGATTTGGGATTTTCAATACTATTCCTATGTGTTTATTTTACACTGATGACATTGTGGACTAGTATTATGATCTGATTTAGACAAACAAAACTATTTACTGACATTCATATGTTTTAATCGACAAAAATTATGATGAAGACATTTTGACCAAATAAAATGCACAATCCTATATACGAATAGTGTCCATCTTGTTGTGTTAATGAGGTATGGCAACTTGGACCGATTCATATATGTGCCTGGTCCTACGTTGTAGCTGAGTGACTGACTGAATAGTGAACTTTTAAACTAGGCACTTGATTTTCGACATGAATATTGATAGGTATATAGTTCTAAGCAATTGTTTAAAGGAAACTACTCGGTAATTCTTAGCGGAACTAATAAATTCTAAATTGCTATGGCAGAGATATATCTGTTGATATAATAATGATGTTTCATTGGGTTAGATAGTTAAAATAGGTTACATATGTCTTCAAACCCTAATGTTTTTGATTACTGCTTATACTCTTACTACCTCTACCACTACGGGATTTGAATCGACAACTGCATCTCTGTGCTAATGTAGTATGGCAACACGAAACGATCTACCTACGTACGAAGTTCTACGTTGCTACTGACTGACTGACATATATCAGTAGGCCAGATAGTTCAAAACATGGTAGATGTAGGCTGATTAGACTAAGATAACACTAATCTGAGTAGCAATTCACATGATTGTCAAGAATATTTTTTTATGAAAAAGGATACAAATCAGAGATGTGTTCATTTATTCTTTCGTTCAATGAATGTTGTCAGATGATTTATGAGTCTAGAAACTCGACTAAATGAATCCATACATAACAAAATAACGTTTATGAACTTACCTGTATGGTAAAGAAAGGTCTGTTGGAACATCCTTCTCTGACTAGTGCAATACGAAGTTTATTTCGAAAACGAACAGGATATAATTTTACTACACGACGTCCAGGAATTAACGGTTGATGAGGCCACCATGTACTAGGCTTTTCTGGTCCAGGTACAAATGTCATATCATTTAAAGATGTAGGCTGAGTTGATTCACAAACAAAAGGTTGTATATTACCAAAAGGTGAATAGGAATTTTGGTATTTTACGCGACCCAAGTTCAAGTTACGAAGTAAAGGAAATCTAAGGATGTATTTTTTTTAAAAGATGTCACATTTAAAAGTAAACCAACATAATGGTACAGTCATAGTCAAATTAAATGAAAATAAGTTTATGCGTTTTTCAAAGAGACAATATTACAAAAACCTTAACTAAGACCCAATGCCACCAACATAGTATGTTAGTGACATTTTAAGACTGTTAGCGGGACATAGACCGGATTAAAGCATGCTCAATGCATGATTGCTTTGGTGCACGCTGATTGGCTAATTCTTATCCAATCAGCACTAGTCGATAGTTGGAGAATACTCTAGAATCTTCTCATGTAAAAAACTATAAATATACTGACGTTTTCTCTATTGTGCTTCTGGCTTGCATCTTGCTTCCATCTAACCTTGTTATTTGGGATATAATCTCTTTCCTGTTCAACCATGTTCTGATTTGGGGTCTTGTCGAGTGATTTAGTGTCCGAGAATACTAAGCAATAGGAATAGCTGGGTCATAACCGTAAAAAAGAGATTATAACAAAGACAAAGAAACTAATTTACTTGGATCTCATGATGGTTAAACTATTTTATGACGAATACAGGCTAAGAAAATACTTCTAAAACTTGTAAAGGTTTAGACAATCCATAGACGTAATGATAACAAAAGAACATCTGATATATTACAATCTTGAGATGGTAGAAAAGATCTGTAGCTCAGGTGGATGATTTTGGTGGATTTTTGTTCTCTGAGCTGGATGGTTTGGTTGTGGAGCTTTCATCATTCTTCTGAACGACATCATCAGCACAAACTTCAGGTTTGTTATAAATTCAATACAAACATTTGGTCATCAGCAGCTTACATTTAGATATGGACAATAGTTAAAGAGATTAAGCAAATTTACTTGCATAACAATAGGAATGATTAAATAAATAAATTTCTCAAGTACAATTGTACGTAATTTGAGTTTTGGTCACACGTTTTTATGAGACCTAGTAATATTATCTGGTTAATTTTACTAGCTAGGACCCCGCTTTGTTTTAGTCAAATGAACTATCAAGCACTGGTCTAGGGAATAAAATACAACTCCCAACTACTATGTCTGGCTCCAGTTCTGATTCCTCTAGTTCCGTTTAGATAATCAGGTAGCATAATTAAGAATCACACAAAACTTTTAGCTCAATGCTGTGTACATTAATTCGAACTAACTTACCAAATGTCATCACATTAAAAGTTTAAATCAATCAGTAGGAACCGCTTGGATGTGATTATTTCTTTCTCTATAAAGAAATCTATGATTGTCTAGCCGTGTTAACCTATAATGTGTATAATTTATTTAGACAATATATTGATAAAGGAATAGTTTAAAATTTGTATAGGAATAGAAAAGCTTGAAACATTACTTTTATGTCAGTTAGCCAGCTACAACGTAGGACCAGGCACACATATACATCGGTCCAAGTTACCATACCTCATTAACACAACAACATGAACACCGAATCCATAGAAGTAGTTAATTCAATGGTGGTAATATATAAAAGAAAGATTGCATATAAGGATATAGTATAGCAAGAAAGAATTAGTTTATAGAAAGTAAGATATGAAGTGATTTTAATCTCTTCGTTTAAGGGAAGACAGGGAGTGTATACACCGACGCCATTGTGGTCAATTCTGAGCCATGTCACCAAGAGTCTCCAACCATTGGTTACGAAAGTCACGCGGACCCCAACCAAGTAGTCTGCATCTACCAACGTGGCTAAGACTAGAAGTTAGTGACTTTAAGCACTGATGCCACGTTTTGGTGTGGCCACCCACAATTTTTTTCCAACCATCCTCAACACTAGTCAGCATCGCGCGTCCTGATAATCGGTGTTCAGGCATGCGTAACACGTGACCCAACCATCCCAGTCGATAAAGATTCATAACCCCATCAAGTGACTTACCATCATTTCTTTTTATGAGTTCCAAAACAAGTGAACAGTTTTAATTTATCAGACAACTTATTATGGCTAGTTTATAATCACCCAAAGTTTTTAAAAAGACAACTATAATAAGATTTAGTCATTATGTATATAATTAAAGCGATGAGATAATATACATTGATGTATATAAAGCAGTATGAGTTTCTACAAAATTATAGAAATAACATTCTGTTGAGTTGTAAAAATGATTTAAAACCTGAGTTCGAGAGTTGTTATTACTTGACCACAATAATTTAAGTTGGACGAATTGACTTGCTATACATAGTGTAATTGTATAATATTTGAGTAATAATAATTATTATAGAAGCCTATTTTTTTTAAAATAAGAATATTTATAGTAAATTCCCCATAGTTGAAATGGTGTGAATTCCTCTTCTATTATTTACGTTTTATAGTATCAATCTAACAGTAAATTACTGTGGAGACATACTTGTACAATGCATAATGCATTATTGTGAATTGGTCAAATCTGACTGAACTTTAAAAAGCGATCCAATGGAAAAATATCCTGAAAGGAATAATAATGAATAGGGAATCGATGAAGTAATTATTATTATAATCTTATTACTATTATGGTTTTTAAAAGACTGTTGATAACTTGTTAATCTATTCTTACTTGCCAAGAATATATATGCACTTCACACTAAAAATGAGTTTGTGAGGTGAGAATAGAAGATGAGTATAACAGAAAAAAGGACAAAAATGAACAGAAATTAGTGTACTAGAGTGAAATAATAATAACATTAATGACAAAAACAATTCATTTGGGGAAAATACAACCAAAGAGAATTTTTTCAGTTAAAAAAGTTAGTTATTATTATTTATTTGAACACAGATATTGGTATAAGGGGGCACCAGATACATATGCACCACACAAATCATACGGAGTTTGTATGAGGGCTAAAATACTGCCCGAGTGCCCAAACCGAAGCAGTTGGTTTTCTTAGGCGGCCACACCCGAAGCCTTCGACCTAAAGGTCTGATCCACAAGGCAGTGGAGCGGTTTTGGGAGATGCAGTCCCATAGTAGCCGGTGACCAATAATTGGTTCATACGCCAACTGTTCTCTCGAGATACTGGAGTCCATGTGCACCATTGGTTTGGAATCAGGGTTTTTCAACTCCCTTAGGTGAACTCTCCGTGTCCACCAACCCGGTTAAAGCGCCGGACACTCACTCTTATGAAGTAAAAGAAAGTTACAGCAGGATCGTCACTAGCTTCTATATCGAACTATTTCTGATAGTCTTAAGCCAATGTGTTGCACCCTCTCCAGGACCCTAACCAGGGAGTCGTGAATAACCAACAGGAGCCAGCTCTGTACATCTTCCTTTCATAGCACATCATGTTGTGAACTGACCAACTCTCCACATTTTTTCAATCAGTCCCAGAGTCGGCAAATAATGCATGACGTGGGATTCGCTGAGATGGCATTCGCAGGATATGTCCAAGCCACCGAAGTCGGTATTTAAAGGTGGTGACACCAGCCGAAATATCGTCGCTGTGTAGAAACACACGGTGCCAAACCTATGAATTACTAATGTGGGGTTCCCACTGGGTGTCAGCAATCATTCGGAGACACAGAGTCGTTTAATATCCTCGACTCGGAGAGGCCAGGTTTTACGGGCATAGAGTAAAACTGCACTCACAGATGCGTTGTAGATCCGACCTTTTACAACCAGACTAACATCATAAAGGTGCCAAAGATGGCCTTATTGGTGTAAACCGCTATGGTTTTCACTATATGTGAAATGATCTCATCACTCACGCCACCACCATTATACACAGCTACCTAGAACGTTTTGACTATATCTGCTCACTACCCAGAGTTAGTATAGGTCCAGGGTCCTGCCAGTTTTATAAGAGTAATTTGCACTTGGAAGGTGCAAAGCACATGTCATATCTACGGAAACTGACTGTCAATTGATTAAGTGCAGATTGCATGATTTTGGTATCACCGCACAGTACGACAATATCATCTGAATACTCAATGTCGAAAAGTCTTTCTACAAGCAAAATATTCACACCACAATTAATTATATCCATCAGAACTGCTTTCGGAACGTTATCAATGGCATGGTTGAGATAGGAATGGTGAAATCGGGAAAGTTTGTCTAACCTCACTGCAGGCATGAAACAAAGAAGAGAGATGGTTATATGACCTCACTCTGTCTGAGATGTTTGTATATAAGACCTGGTGATTTGTGGCGTTTCAAGAGTTAGAGTTCCTTGTGTCACGAACCATGGAGGGCAGGATAATTTGATCGATGTCGCCGGGGTAGCATACCAGTTGAACTGCTCCTTGAAAAACTCTTCCCTTCGTCCACATCGTCGGTGGATGTTATTGACTGATATCCTGTCAGCTTCGCAAATTATTTGAGTCACACCAGAATTGTTCCTGACAGTGACGCGGATGAGTTTAAATGGCTTCCGGCAGTTACCAGAAGCAGCAGCTGCTTCAAACTTGTTAGCACGCTCCGACCACCAGGCTTTTCGGTCCTTACGCAAGCTTCGCACAATTTCGCTATGCCAAAACCTTCGTTCATGGTCAAAATTGTGGTCATCTGGAGAAGACTGGCGTGCTTTAGTGAGTTGTAAGAAGCCTGTAGAAACCTAGTGCCTGTTAACGGGACTCTGTAAAGTCACAAGCGACTTTACTCGCCATTTTCATGACGCCATAAAATTTCAGCCAATGCACATATACTTTTCGGTAGATTGATAGCTAGCCTTGAACCTAGCTAGGCTTTATATTTCATTGCAGCAGAAGCTGCAACCAATTTGCTGACATTGACCCATTTAGAGCAGAGAATTTGTCAGACAGAGTGACTGACTGAAGAATTTGTTGGCTACTGAAACGTAAGGTAGGGTCAACGCAAACAAGGGTATGATTAGAGTCCAGATAAGTACTCCAAAAGGAGCAGCAATCTTGTACACAGCCACGCTAGCAGTAGTTGGTCGCGATATGATCAATTTAAGTCCAGGTTTTATATGCAGAAAGAGGACGCTAGGTAGCACATCGGCGATGACTGCGCCAAAAGTTAGCACTAGCCAGAAACAGGTTTTAACCTGAGCAATTTGCAGTAGACAGTTACCGTTATCTGGTCTGCAACCAACAGGTCCTCATCGGTCACCTAAAAGACTTTTTCCCCAGACACCTGTCGAACGGACTGCACGTAAAAGGGAACTTAACTGGTGACAAGAATCACCCGCGATCGCACGCGGGCTAAAATCTGTCGCAGCGTAGGCGATGACGAATGGAGATCGTCTCTCATACCGATTTCTCAGTGATTCAGTTTTCTAGTCTAACAACACATAACCGACTGTTAATGGGGATCCAATCGACTAGTTGTCCCAACTCTAACGTTTACTGCAACAATATAGCCAGCTAAACCATACGATGCCACACGCACGCGAAACAAGCTTTTTGAAGTGCCATATGGGAAGCGAATTTGTATTGCTTTACTTGAGTCTTGAATACTAGTCTCGGATAGGCAAAGGACATCGATGTTGAGACTTTCTAAAGACAGCGAACCCTATCGGTTGGCCGATCTACATTAGTGAGCGAACGTTGAAGCCGGTCAGTTTGAATGGTATATGTGGTTTTGGAAAAACTAGTTCAGTTTTCATAATCGGTGGTAGCATCCAACTTTCGACCAGTCAGTGACTTGAGATCGTTTAGATAGGAAAGGGTTTCCGCCATAGACAAGCTGCTGTATAAGTTGAAAAATAAAATACGCAAAATGAGAATAAAAGGGAGTACACAAGTGACGCAGTATAAAAGAAACAAAAACGAATGTTATCATATGATTTCGAATATGATTTGTCGGAATGCAAACCGAAGCGAGAATTTTTCCGCGAGCCCAAACTGAAAAGAGGCCACTCACCGAATCTTTGACCTAGAGGTTTAATCCACAAGGTAGTGGCGCAACGTTGGGAAATGCGGTACCATGGTAGCCGGTGACCAACAATAGGTTCGTACGCCATTTGTCCTCCCAGGACGCTGGAGGTCACGTGCTCCATTGGTTTTGAACCAGAGTTTTTCAAATCTAGGTGGATCCTCCGACTAGTGTATATATACCTTGACTATTAGTGGCTCATAAATTTTATGAATAGTTTGTCAAAGATTTCTACAGTGGAAACTACTTACTAATAATTGAATTATTAAGAACACTACCTACGTAACATTGCGAGGACATCTTGTTAAGTTAAGAACTAGATCTAACTATTTATGAATATTGGCAGTGGCTTCTAGTCCCAACAATGTCTAATAATGTTTCAAACAACTAGATTGCTACAACTTCACTTATGGAATAATAGAAAAACAATGAACACTAACACAGTATAACTATCCTTAATTCGATGGTGTCATAAACCACTAGCTGTTAGGTAGTTGAAAGTAATTGTCAAAAAGTCCTGGACATAAGTTTCGTGCTAGTCGGAGCTCATCAGCAATGAGTACCTTTAGTCTTGAGAGAACTAAATCTTCCTGATTGATTCGAACATTGGCCACTCATTGTTATCATTTAATTTATCGTGACATTCTTTTTCATGTCTCTGTTGTGTAATTATTTAGTTTTATATCAGTCAGATGAAATTACAATAAACTGTGTATGGAGTAATGAAGGGAATATTTTACCTATTGAATATGTATGGGTTTTAATAAAAAATTTGTGGAGAAAATCATTTATATACAAAGTAAACATCTGTAGTCAGGTTGCATAGTAGCTAAATACTTATCGATTGACTTCCGGCTAGACGTTGTTGGTAGATAGTTTCTTATATGGTGTAGAGTTTAGTAACAAGTATTTCGTTCACAAAACATTGTCAGAGACCATAAGACTATCTTGTTTACTGACATGAGAGGTTGCGTAGCATTATTAGCCTATACATGACTTGTAGCTCACTGCAAAATGTTGTAATGTTTGAGGTTTACTTATTATGACAAACAGCTGATATAAGGCTGTATACAATACTCTATTTTATAAATACTGAGTCAAATATTTCTGAAATAAACGTTACTAAGGCAAGAACAGCAACTGGCTAATAAAGTCGTTTAAGGTCATCAGCATAATACACTTTTATCTAAACTTGAGGGGTTCTAAAGATGACAATGAGGAAGTAATTGGCTTTTCCAAAGAAAACCTATGGACTTCTTCAGCTGAATTGGTTCTTGATATGTGAATCGAAGGGATTATCTACACTAGCACCAATCTGTACGGATACAAGCGTTCCTTCGTTGAAAAAAACCTAACCCTATTTTGACCTTTTATAGGTTCGTGAATCACGGAAACAGTTTACGAAAAATTCACTTGCTTAAATTTCTCCAATCAATTATAAATTCGTATTAACTATGTTTTGGTTGGCTGGCGATTGATTGAAATCTCACAAAATTACAACTAGGATCGCTCAAGGTTGTTAATAAAGTATTGTCAACATTTGGGGCAAGTGGCCAATATA